AATATATTATATTATATGTATATCATTATTGATTAATAATTATCATACTTAATTAGATAATTTTTATTTATATAAATGTATATAATTATTTATTTAAATAATGATTTTCTAACCGATTATTATGCTGATTACCAATTAGTGATAAGTATACACGTATAATCAGACAGATTATAAAAGTACAAAATAATATATATATGAGATATATAGTGATTTAAAAAAGATCAATATGTATTCCATGAATTGAGAATCTAAATTCAAAAGAAAAATAATTCAAAAAAACGCAAAATTATAAAAAATTTAAAATAAAAAAAGAAAATTCAAAATTATAAAAAATGTAGAATACGATATGTTATTTAATTAAAAAAATATTTTTAATCAAAACTTGGATTTTATAAACAATAATTAATTGATATAATTAATATATATAAAAAAATTTTAAACAAAAATAAATCCAAGTAGTTATAATGAAATTGTAACTGTTAAAACGAAGATAAGTTTTAACTTAAATTAATTTTTAACTTAAATTTGGTTGAAATTAATTCGAATATCAAAAGTTTTTCATAAAATACATACAATATTCATTTTCGGGAAATAAAATATCGCTATAATATAATTAAATATATATTATAAGAAAAAACTGAATAATTTTATCAATATATTAAATTATGAATTAAAAAAATCATGTATATTATGTCTCTTGATTTATTTGTTTGTAAAATAATAGATTTTTTACTTTTTTTAAATTTTTTTTTTATTTAATTCATTAAGGATCAAATAATAGAAATAGTGCAATTTTATGATAATTTATCATTTAAAATAAATATAAATATTGATAAGGAAATTTTTTAATCAGTAATTGTCATAAGATACATTTTTTGAGAATCTTGGATTTTTAGAATAGTGAAATTTTTTAAAACGTTATAAAACGAAACGAATAATAAGAAACGAACTTTATTTTGATCACAATGTTATAAATAATTCATATTTTTAATTTTGTAAAATTATTAATTTTAACTGAATTCTAGTTGAAAAAATAAATTGTAATGTAAATTATAATATAAACAATTTGCAAATGATATGATGTATTAAGTCTTAATGAGTTGATTTTATGTTTAAATACTACATTTGATATGATATGTATATAAATGTAAGAATGTTTATGAATTATAAGATATCAATATCTTCAATGATTTAGTACATATCTACATTTAAATTTTCAAATATAATGTATGTAGATAGATATGTATATGTTTCTTGTAATGAAAAAAATATATAAATGAAAAATTATGAAAAAATATTAGAAATTAGAAAAAAATATGAAAAATTGAATATAGAATCTTTCAAATACATAAAGAATTAATTATAATATAGAATATAACAGTATTAAAAATGAAGTTTTTAGTATGAAAAACTAAATTTTTATCAAATAAAATTTTTATTAGAAATAGTAATAAAATAGTAATAAAATAAATAATATAAAGTACTAAAATTGTAATAATAATAATAAAATCATTAAAATTATATTATTAACGAGAAAGATACGAAATATATGAAAAATAAAAAGCTAGTAAATGTTTTACTTTCACACATAGAATTATATAT